TTTACAATCTTATTTTATAGAGTTAACGACGCAGACGGGACATAAAAAAATGCATGACCAGAGCGGCTTCACGGGGTACAGCGTCGCGCGGCTTGCCATCAGGAATGGCAGCGAGTTTTTTTTTTGTGATAGAAAAAAAGTTCGACGAAGCCGCAAGGACGCCCCGGGGGGAGCTGAAGATACCCCTCGATTTTACCCTCCTCCATAGAAGCGGCTTGTGGCCTCTCACATGACCTAACGCGTTTTCTTGTCGTATGGGATAGAATGGTTGAATTCTGATTTTTTTTTGTCTTGTCATTTCTACGATTTTGGGTTTCCGACCATGCCAGAGAAGGCTGAAATAGCTTAGTACAAAAATGGCATTCAAAAGTTGCACATAGAAGTAAATTTGCCTGTGATCAATGTCGTATTGTTGGTTCGAGAACTTGTTGAGTGATCACATGGGAAAAGAATGTCTGATTGTCCATTTTCAGGGCACGCGCACGTAGGTCCTGCGTGATATTGATGGCTGGTCGTCAATGCATGATGAAAAAAAGAAAAAACCGTGTCTGGGCGCTAGTGAGATGGGTGATTGCGTGTTCTCGGGGGCGTAGATACTCCCACGCTTTCGTGTGTGGTAGGGTGAGGGAAATACGTATTGGATAGGTCATTATTCTGTGACGTGCCTTCGCAGGATGGATGGATGGATGGATGGAACAGGCATTTTTGTGGGCAGTGACTGAAAGGGCGGGAATGGAACGGGAGTATCCCTGCGGTACATGTGAGGTTATCACGACTGATGTCACGTGACTGAGAGCAATTAGTCCTGTGGTTCTGGTAACCAAATATCGATCATTGAGTAGAGAGAACCTACGGCCTCTAGGTAGGCGGCTGTCCTGCTTAGCTGGTAGTTATTGGGAAAATGTCGGCGCACGCGGCGTCTGAAATGGCTAGGGTTCCTTTTTTTTTAGAACCTGCTGGCACAGCGTCGCAGTGGCTGGTAACTGAGGATGCAGGATTGCCAGGAGGAGCTGCTCGCAGCCGTTACAGGGACCATGATACTATTTACCCTAATCTTAAGAACCCCACCGTGGATCGAGAGCCGGGGAAGCCCGACTCGCATGTCCGGGAGCGGAGATGGTGTCTTCCCGACAGCACACTCTACTAATCGCCAAGTCAGAGACAGATAAGCGACTGGTGGTTCAGGGGAGAGAAGAGAGAACAAAATGGTCAATGTCGGAGTGCATTACGGGGGGAGAGCGCATACGAATGCGAGTGAATGGAACACGAAACTTGAAAAAAAAAAAAGAAAGGCGGGGAGCCCGGCATAAAACTGATGCAAGGCGTCGACGGCTGTTGACAGGGGATGAGAATCTTGGGGACAAAACCAGCCCGATGCGCGTTTGGAGCCGACATGTCAGGGAGGTGGACAGTGCGTGCATACATAGTTGGTTGGTACCACCCACTCGTGATGGGCTACAGACAATAGTCAAGGATCACGAATGCCAGTGAATGGCCTTTTTTACTAGATGTAATTATCGAGATAGGAGGGGAGAAAGGAGAGAGCTATGTCTTTTTCCCTGATGCTTCTTGGGGAAGTCGTTGTGCTTTGTTGGTGTTTTGAAAGGCAAGGCACACACGGTAAGCCACGTACGATTCTGGCGGGCTGTAAGCCAGCCCCAACATGATGACCATTCGAGGTGCTGTGGAGGAATGGGGGAATCGAGGTTTTGGGGCCTAAGGAGAGCGTGCGGCGTGTTGGCTCAGCTGGGTCCATCTGTGGTGTCGGAATGCGTCCGGCCGTCTCTGTGCCCCTGGTGAGCGAGTATCTGGTGCATTTCTCCTACGAAGCTCCATGAAAAACTTAATTTAGTGCCTGCGATGTTCGGTGGGCTTGCGTGGCCAATATGAGCTTGTGTTCACGAAAGGGAGGGTGTTAATTCATCTTAGGCCGGCGAAGTCATCGCGGCATGCCGTACATACATTCCGTACATCGATAGTACGGGGATGGTGGTGATAAACAGGGGGTTGGCTGAGCACGATTGCGATGGCGATGATTGGGGGGTGATGTGTGGATGGCTAGCTGTGGAAAGATGCAGGGAGAAAGGGTGTGGCGAGCTGATGCGGAAGTGCGAAGTTTTCGCTCGCCCAGTGTGTCTGGTCGCGAGGATAACGGGGAGGAGGGGGGACTCTCTGCTAGGTATCCTGGGCTTCCCTTCTTTCTCCGCCCCTTCTTGAGTTCTCCTCGCCTTCTAATGCAAGTCGATAATGTCTGATGGAAGCAGCCACTCACGGAGGTAAATGGCGCCAGGCGAGCGACCCGGTAGCAGGTACACCGTAGGGGAGGTACCCCGGGAGGTGGGTGACATGGGGATTGATGCATGCACTAAAGCACTATCTCCGGCACGGTTCAGCTCGATTGCAGCGCTGGACCGGCTGCTGTGCTGGTATTGACGGAATTGACGATGGGACAAATGCGTAGGCCCTCTCTTCCATCCCAGCGATTGCATCCGTTTCTATTGTCCCTGCCGTTGGGCGTTGCGATGCTCGGGGTCCACGTACCTTGTACGGCGGGCGGAAGCATGCGGGTAGCGACAGGCGCAAGGTCCTGGCTATTCCTACCTGAGGAGCTAGTGTCGAGAGGTACGTACAAGGTGGTGTGGCACCTAGCAGGTAGGGCGTAGGAGGTACCTGACAGGCGGGTGACATTGAATTTGGGACACTCAAGCATTCTCCTGCTTCCCTATTCTCGAGTCTGCGATGAGTATCATCAGATCATTGAGCACTAGCAATAAAGATATAAGAGGCAATACACTACATTTTATCAATTTGCATCGTTTGATACTACTGAAGTATTCTGGTCATTGTAGAAAGTGGGCGCCCTTCAATCTGATGTCTCATTTCTTCTGTCACCCACTTGCCTGGCTGCTGGAAGGCCTGTGCAGCTTGCCGTTCTGGCAGCCGCTGACCAGTAAGATTGGCCGAGAGCAAATCGATCGTCAGAACTCTGAAGCTGGAACCCCAACCAACGCCGCCAGCAGCAAAGTGGGCTGGCTCATCAGACTGACCAGACCAGACCAGACAGACATGGAGACAGGACAGACTCCGGACAACGCCTCACTTGCCTTGGCCCGGAAAAAAAGGCGATCGGCCAGCTGCTGTAGACTCATCATGGCTGCCTCTTCCTGCCCACGCCCATCATAGACCTCCCCTCTCATCCCATTGCCTCTTCCCTCCCCCTCCCCCCCCGTCTCCTCCATCGCATCACGACGACGCCTCGCGATCGGCTTCAAAGCGTCGCCCGTAGGAACCAACACCGCGCGGCACCACGCCCGCCGCCCACCACCCACCACTTCGCGGCACCTCGCACATACCTAGGTAGGCGCCGCGCCCACGAACACATCGCATCGCATCCCAAGACCGCCCCCAGTCATCGTGCATCCTGCCGTTCTCCCCTCCGCCCCGACCATTGGCAATGCCCACCACCCGACAGACAGACAGCCTGTTGATTTCCTTTTCCCTCATCATCACCTCGGGACTCGCTCCTGTCGCCCACTAGACTGTGCCTGCCACCCGAGTAGAGTATCGTGCCTCGTTTCCTCGCTGTCGCAGCCTCCACCATCTGCTGCTACACTACACTACACTCGCCTGCGACTCGTACAGTCCCGGCTCTCCGAATGGGCCCAGCGCTCGCCCTTTCCATTTCAGCCTAGACAAATCCCCAGACGGCACCCGAGGAGGCTGCAGCCCAGTGACGGCGTGCGTGCAATCTTATTGACCCAGGTCGCAGCCATGGATACCAACGGGTTTTATTCCACCGTGCTGCACCCAGCACACCAGGTCGAGTCCGAAGATGACCGTGGCAGACAACACCACCGCGACACGATGAGTGCAGGGAGCTCTGGTCCTCCACCTTCGTCTTCGTCAGCGCACCGACACCTTGAATCCTCCTCTGCCTTCAGACTGCGGTCGCCCTCCAACAGCGCCCATTCCGACCACCACCACGGGCACAATCCCAATCCCAATTCCAACCACAACCACAACGCTCCTCATCCACCACCGCCGTCGTACACGTCGTCTGCCGGCTCGCACCATCACCACCACCCTCAGTCGTCGCCCCAGCATCTCCGATCCAGCCTGCACGCGCCTGGCGGCAGCCCATATATGGCACAACAACAGCCGCAGGGCTCGTCCTCGGTTGGCGGGCCCGTGGCTCCCACGCTGCCACCGCCATCGGGGCTTGCAGCACCTCAGACATCAACGTCGCCGATGGCTGGTGCAAGCCATCATCACCATCCGGGTCCCTCGCCATTGCACGCACCCTCGGGCTACTACCCTCCCCCGTCCTCATCGGATAGCCATCGACACGCGCGCGATAACAGTGGTAGTAGCAGTGGCAGTGCTGCCAAGCCCACGAGGAGCTTCTACGATCCAACTACAGACTCGTCGTCCCACGAGCGTCGCGTCTCAGACTCGTGGCAGACCACAACCCCCAAGGTGAGCAAACACCACGCCCCAATCCCTCAATTCACGTCAAACCCGCATGTACGTGACCTGTCCGCGTTGGCAGGTCCTTCTGCCCCAGTCAATTTTTTATTGTACCACTGCGACTGCTCCTTTGTGTCTTGATAAAAAAACACCACGCCATTAATTGCATGCGCATCGCCCTTGGTTCTTTCGGCCCCCCAAAATTTCCCTCCACCCCCTTCTTTCATCACCACCCAAAAAATCCCGAAACAAGCGTCCGCACCCATCCTTATTAGTGTGCAACGTGTGCTGACCTGGTAAATTTTCTCTCCCAGCACCAACCACGCGAAGCTTACGCCTACTCCCAACAATCCGACAAGCCATCCTCGTCATACTACAACGGCAACAGCTACTCGCCGCCAAAATCATCAATTCATCGCCCTCGCAGCCCTTTATCTCACTCACACCCAAACCCACATCGGGGGTCGTTAAGTCCGCCCAGCCGACAGTCACACTTGGCATCGCCCGGCTCGAAGCATGCTGGCGCGCCCAGCATGACCTCCACGTCTAATGGAGCGTCGACCATGGCGCCCATCATGAAGACTGACCTTGCTGCACCCTCGCCCAAGCCTACCCCCCCTAGTGTACGTGTTTATCTGGTTCCCTCTTTCCCCTTCAATCGTGTTTGTCTCAGGCTAATAAGAATATTTCTCAGACCGCAAGCCGTGCAGACCCCATGTCCTTCTCCAACATCCTCTTAAACTCCGAGCCTGCACCCCAGCCGCGCGAACGACCTGTGGAAGCGGAGACTCGTGAGCACGAAGCCGATCGAAAACCCAAGATCGAGCCCGAGATCAAGGAGGAAGCTGATAAGCTGATGCCTGATCGGGATGACAACGATACCGAGTTAGAGGCAGAGGCAGAGGCAGTGCCCGTCAAGAAGAGGGAGGTGAAGAAGAAGGCACCCCGAAAGTCAGGTCTCGGTCGCGTATCCGACGTCCGAGACGAGGCCACCCCCTCCAAGCCTGGGCGCCGCAACTCATCGAGGAAGGAATCACCTGCTCCCCGCATATCCTCCAAGCGTCAGGCCAACGGCCAGGAAAAGGAGCAAAAGACTTGGTCGAACGAAATGGAAAAGAAGATCCAGAATGTCGATAAGCAAATTGAGAAGAACATTGCCAGTTTGGACAAGTCAGAATTTGACGAAGCCGAATACAAGACGCGTGCCGCCAAACGCCGCAAGGTCATGTCCGAGTTTGATACTGACCGGAACGTTCGTCGACGGGAAGACTACGTGAAGCTGGCAGGTAGGCGACTTGGAGATCATGCCGAGCTCGGTAAGAGGCGATACGAGGAAATGTACTACGAAGAGGCTCTCCACGAAGTCCGTGAGCAAGAGGTCTTTGCTGAGAAGGAACGCAAGAAGGACATGCAGCGCAAGCGACGCCGTGAAAAATCCATGGCCGTCACTATGGAGCAGAAGGAAGCTGCACTTGCTCGTGCCAACGCTGCCGAAGATGAAACCGAACGCCAGAAGCATCTTCGTGATGCTGAACGAGCCAATAAGAAGGCCCAGCAGACGAAGTTGATCTTGCAAAAGGGGATCAAGGGCCCTGCCCGGAATGTCGACCTCAACCTTGATGGTGGTACCATGTCCAGCTTCCAAGCCTCTGATGTCGAGACCAGTGGCAAGAAGCCCAAGCGTGGTGGCAATCGGCCCAAGAAATCGAAGGAACAGAAGCAGGCCGAAAAGGACTCTGCCGAGGCTGCTCAGGCCGCCATTGATGCAGGTGAAGAGCTCCCTCCTCTTGCCCCCCGCGAGGAGAAGGAGGGCAAAGAAGGCAAGGAAGCCAAGGAAGCCAAGGTCCGTATCAAGATCAAGAAGTCCAAAGACAAGGAGAAGTCCAAGGACAAGGGCAAGGACAAGACCGAGGTAGACAAGGACAAGGAGAACCGTGAGCCTGGAGCTGAAAAGGTCGACGACACGCCCGACTTGGAGAAGAAGTTTGCTAGCAAAGGCTACAATCAGATTTACGATCAGATCTGGCGGGACATGGCCCGAAAGGATGTTAATAAGACCTTCAAGCTTGCCACTGATTCTTATGCCACCAAGGCGTCGAATCTCAAGAAGACTGCCATCCTTGCTTCCAAGGAGGCAAAGAGATGGCAACTGCGTACGAACAAGGGCACCAAGGACCTGCAGGCCCGCGCCAAGAGGGTCATGCGAGACATGATGGGCTTCTGGAAGCGCAACGAGCGAGAAGAAAGAGATCTGCGCAAGGCAGCAGAGAAGCAGGAGATTGAGAACGCCAGACGCGAAGAGGCTGATCGTGAAGCTGCTCGCCAGAAGAGAAAGCTCAACTTCTTGATTTCTCAAACCGAACTCTACTCTCACTTCATCGGCAAGAAGATCAAGACAGACGAAGTGGAGCGTAGCACCGACAACCCGGACATTGCTCCCGATGCCAAGCAGATCCCCCATAAAAAACTGGATGTCGCCGAACCTGACGGCCCCAGGGGCAAGGTAACTGATTTCGAGAACCTCGACTTCGATGACGAGGACGAGACGAACCTCAAGGCCGCTGCCATGGCCAACGCTCAGAACGCCATTGCCGAGGCACAGAAGAAGGCCCGTGATTTCAACAACGAGCGCTTGGACATGGACGATGAAGGCGAGATGAACTTTCAGAACCCAACAGGTTTGGGCGACGTCGAGATCGAGCAGCCCAAGCTCATCAATGCCCAGCTCAAAGAATACCAGCTTAAGGGTCTCAACTGGCTCGTCAATTTGTACGAACAGGGTATCAACGGTATTCTTGCCGACGAAATGGGTCTCGGCAAAACGGTGCAGTCCATTTCAGTTATGGCATATCTCGCCGAGAAGCATGACATTTGGGGTCCTTTCCTGGTTGTTGCTCCTGCTTCAACCTTGCACAACTGGCAGCAGGAAGTCGCAAGGTTCGTCCCCGAGTTCAAGATTCTCCCTTACTGGGGCAGTGCCGGTGATCGAAAGATTCTTCGCAAATTCTGGGATCGAAAGCACTCTACCTACCGAAAGGATGCCGCTTTCCACGTTTGTATCACTTCCTACCAGCTTGTTGTGTCCGATGTCGCCTACTTTCAGAAGATGCGCTGGCAATACATGATTCTGGACGAAGCTCAAGCTATCAAGAGCTCCCAGAGTTCTCGTTGGAAGAGTTTGTTGGGATTCCACTGCCGAAACAGACTGCTCCTTACAGGTACTCCGATTCAAAACAACATGCAGGAGCTGTGGGCCTTGCTTCATTTCATCATGCCTTCCCTATTCGACTCTCATGATGAATTCAGCGAGTGGTTCTCGAAGGACATTGAATCACATGCTCAGAGTAACACGAAACTGAATGAGGATCAGCTGAAGCGTCTGCACATGATTCTGAAGCCTTTCATGCTTCGTCGTGTGAAGAAGCATGTGCAGAAGGAGCTTGGTGACAAGATCGAAGAAGATATCTTCTGTGATCTCACCTACCGGCAACGCGCCTATTATGGTAACCTCCGCAACCAGATCAATATCATGGATCTCGTTGAGAAGGCTACGATGGGTGATGAGCAGGATTCTGGTACACTGATGAACTTGGTGATGCAGTTCCGCAAGGTCTGCAACCATCCCGACCTCTTTGAGCGTGCTGAAGTTACCTCGCCTTTCTCTTTGAGCTATTTCGCGGAAACTGCCTCCTTTGTCCGAGAGGGGAATAACGTTCCGGTTGCCTACTCGTCACGCAGCGTCATTGACTATGAGCTGCCCTCTCTTGTCTGGACCGAGGGGGGCCGGCTCGAAAAGCCCGGCCAAGATAATATCAAGGCTGGATGGCGCAACTCGGCTCTTGCCCACATGCTGAATATTTATTCGCCAGACCACATACGGGAAAGTACTGACGAGAACAAGGGATTCTCGTGGCTGCGTTTTGCCAATCTTAGCCCTGGAGAGGTCTACAAGGCAACTCGTCAAAGCCTGTTTGCCCGTGCGGTGGATGAGCTGCAGAAGACGAACCGCTTAGGTCGAGTCAAGGTCGCATACGATGATCCGGAAGACAAGGGCTACACAACGGCTCACGCTCTCTTTAACATTGTAGAACGCAATGACCGACAGCCTCTGGTGGAGATCATGAACGAGGGCGTGATGGGCAAGCTCATGAATGTCGCTAGAACAGAGTACGATGAGTCTGGCCTTGGTCGCCTCGAGCAGGCCGGTCGACCGCGTGCATCTGCTCCTCCTGTCACCGTCTCTTGCAACAAGCGTAGTGCCGTCATTGAACTGGACAATGTCTTTTTCAACATTCCCATGCGCAAAGCGCTGTACGGCCCCGCCCAATGGGAGGAGGAGGCTCTCGTGGAAAGGAAGGTGCCGCTTGAGCTCTACCCCACGAGGCAGACTCTTCCAAAGCCGGACGGCGAGTCGAAGCGGTTCACGAACATCGCAGTCCCCTCTATGCGTCGCTTCGTCACAGACAGCGGCAAGCTTGCTAAGCTGGATGCTCTGCTCTTCAGGCTCAAGAGCGAGGGCCACCGTGTGTTGCTCTACTTCCAGATGACTCGCATGATCGACATGATGGAGGAGTACCTCACATACCGAAACTACAAGTACTGCCGATTGGATGGTTCGACCAAACTGGAGGATAGACGAGATACGGTGCACGATTTCCAAACCCGACCTGAGATTTTCATCTTCCTGCTGTCTACCCGTGCCGGTGGTCTGGGCATCAATCTCACCACTGCCGATACCGTTATTTTCTACGATTCGGATTGGAACCCAACCATCGACTCACAGGCCATGGACAGAGCTCACAGATTGGGACAGACCAAACAGGTCACAGTCTATCGTCTTATCACCCGCGGAACCATCGAGGAGCGGATCCGAAAGCGTGCCCTTCAGAAGGAAGAAGTCCAGCGTGTCGTCATCCAGGGTGGCGGTGCAAGCGTCGACTTTTCTGGTCGCCGTGCTCCAGAGAACCGCAATCGCGATATTGCCATGTGGCTGGCTGATGACGAGCAAGCCGAAATGATTGAACGCCGCGAGAAGGAGCTCCTTCAATCTGGCGAGCTTGACAAGAAGCCAAAGAAGGGCGGCAAGCGCAAGAAGACTGAGCAGCCTAGTCTGGATGACATGTACCACGAGGGTAAGATAGTTCCTGACATGTTCTTTGATTGATTTCCACGAGTTTCTAGTTTAGTAGCTAACCATGTTTTGCTCTTTAGGCGAAGGTCATTTCGACGATGGCAGCAAACAGCAGCCCGGAGCTTCAGGAACAGCAACCCCTGCCGAAAGCGATACCAAGGGCAAGAAGGGCAAAGGCAAGAGCAGTGCGAAGAGGGCCAAGACCACGAAGCAGAGACTAGCCATTGCAGATGGCATGGTCGACATTTAATAGGACAAATTTGGTTACAGCCCCACGGCTGTTGTAATACAGGAACTCTTGGTAAGATAATCTGGAACTGGCATGGGCGAAAATGGCGTCAAAATGAATGGACTTGATTTGGGATTTCGAGGGCAAGAGGAGAAGCTCCCCAGTCCCTGAATCGCGCGGCAGAGATGAATTTGATTTTAATCCGAGTGAAGAGGGGAGAAGTGCATCATGTGGGTGGGATTGAATTGGGGACTATAGATGTTTTTTATTATATCTCTTTCCTTGCGATATTTTCTTATTGTTCAACATTATGGGAAAGAAAAGGGACCTAAAAAAAACATGGCCAACGTTCCTTGCTGATATTGGACTGGCCGTTTTGGTGTGTGCTCCGGAGATAGAGGCGCCGAGTGTAGTAGTACCAATAGAGACGTGTGTATCATTTCTGGCATGCTCTGCACTTGTGCCCGATGAAACTGATTCCTTTGATGAAGTGTTCCTGGTGTGGTATTACAGAGTCAAGATGTCACGACGAAGTTGGGGTTGAGTGATGTCTTGGTAAGGGACGTCATGCTGGTACATCACGGTTGGCGAAACGGCACCCCAGGCATTGTAGTATTCCTTTTCGTGAGATCTTCTTGCTTTCCATTTGAGCTAGCTATTGGTTCATTAGAACTCCATGTGATATCAAAACGCCTTTCAGACTCCCGTTCCCTGCATGACTGATGTGTTTGCTAGCTGTTTGAGTATTTTGAACCATGACGCCCTTCCCAGCTTGCCATGTTCCAACCTGTTGCGATGCTGACCTAGTATGATGATAAATAAAAAACTTTTAATGAGGAAATCTCCCAAGTGAGGCCATGATGGGCGTCCCTGCATTTCCTGAATATATGAAGAGCTTTACCCAAATGATGCAACTCTCCTCGTCCCCTTACCACCTGCGTTCCCTCGATCATTTCTTTTCCTCCGATGTAGCGTAGCCAGACTCCGCTTGCTCAGATTCATCGCACCATTCGTCCTTGGCCTCTTCTTGGGTGGCTTTCTTCGCCTTGCCCTTGGCCTTTTTGCCCGGAGCCGCTGCCTGTCGGGGCTTCCGTTCTCCTTTTGAGGCTCTCTTCGGCTTGTTTTTCGCTTCTTCGTCAGGCACATCGGCCAGCAGTGCTTCATCACATGGCGGGATTCTGATGGGTCCTATCTTGCTCCCATGTGAGTCCCAGTACTCGTTCCAGCTCTTGATGTCATCAAAAAGTGAGCCTCGGAGTTCCTTGACCTCGGCAGCGCAATCTGGGGCGTGTTTGGACCCCGAGCAGAGCTGTTTAAGAACCTATGTCTCAATCTTGCCAATATTTTCAATCAAGTTAGAGTTCATTTTTTTGTATTATGCAGAGAGTTCCGATCGGCGCTTAGTTAATTGCTCCGAGACCTTGTCTCCGATAGATGCGATGATTTCATCTCCTTCTTTGACTGCAAAGTCGTGCATGGTTTGAATCTGTTTCTTTACCATTCCCTTCCCTGATCACGTATTAGCAGATACCAACAGTGGGGATAAGAGCAACCGCGCCTCACCATGATGCTGAGAAGCTTCAATATAGCCCTTCTTCATAGGCTCATTCATAAAGGCTCGGGACTTAAGGCGAATTTTGTTGATATCTGCCCTAAATCGAGCTGCGGTCTGAATCATCTCAGACTGATACTCCATTGCCAAGTTATGACCTTTATAGGCCACTCGTCCAAATGCCTCTCTATACTCTAGCGGTAAGCTGTCAAGGTTACAGGTCGCATGCAGGTTATGGGAGACGCTTTGTCCAGCCCTCTTAGCCAGAGTGACAAAGTATGCCGGAAGCTTCTTAGTGAAGGCAAGATTCCAGACATACGCCTTCCTGGCCCAGTAATGACCATACCTACGAAGAACCGAGAATGTTAGTGGCCGGCCCATCTATATATTAAGCCGTACTGAGAACTGGCCGTACATGGGAATAATGAGAACTCACAATCTTGCCTCCCAGCAATGTGTCTTTCGGGGTTTGTGTGATGTGCGAAATTGGCGCCCCTGGCGACGAATGCATACCGAGTAGGTGCTCCAATGAAGCCTGGAATTATCAATATCCTTTTAGAACCTATCAATAAGGTTTGAAAACCCATTGACAGCAGAATCATCTGCCCCGTTCTTGATGGCTCTATAAGGCTCCAGCCTCCCTATAAACCTCGGCAAATTTCCCTCAGATCTTTTAAGGTCCTACTCGACAAAAACAGCCCAAGTCAGTATAAAAAGAGGTGGCTCCGTTCAATATGTTAACTTACATCTTTCAGTTTAAGGGATACTTGTTTCAACACTTGCTCAATCTCTGGTTTAGATGCCCGAGGCAACTGGAATGGAGCTCTAGGTTTGTCTACAGCCCACTCTTCGATCGCATCAAAAGAGACTTTGCAGCGGTAAAGGATATTATCAGCGTGGATTTCTCTGCTTGCAAGAGTAGCTTGGACTATCCAATCTTTTAAAGCAGTGAATCCTGTCGCGGTGCTATCAGGGAAGCCGTCCATAGGGGCTTTTCTTGCGAGGTTTTGCTGAGCTTTACTGCTGACAGGAAAGACCGACAACACAGTAGAAGCCTCTTGAGTTTGACGAGCAGAGTTGCGGACCTGGTCGAAGTAAGCTTGAAGAGCCTCCACGCTACCCTTGGATCGTGATTAGATGCAAGCCATCAAGCAGCGGTTATATAATTCCTTAACCTCGCTCTCTAGGACGTGGCGTAGATTCATCGCTTAGGTCAGCTCGGGGGAAGGCTGTAAGGATTCTTAGACCGCACGCTTTAAAGAGTAATTTCCAGAAATAGGTTCAGGGCACCCATTGTCTTCGGCCTTAAGAGAGACTATTTTTTCCTGTAGATCTCTCAATCGTTCAGACTTATCCTCGTAGAGATTTCTATCTGAGTCAAAAGATAGGCTGATAGAATCTGGATCTGCCTCTGTATTCACATATTTTTCCCAGTCGAGTTGATCAACCTTGGTGATGATGATAGCGATTGAGTCATCATCAAGCTTGCCACTTACTTCTAAATCGTAAATCTAGTCTACGCAGATGAGTTCCGTGGCCGTTCGGTTGTCTTGAGCTCTGTCAGCCGGAGTGACTATAAGCATTTTGTCGAGCTTGTCGTAATATCCTCTAGCAACCTGCGAACGGGAATCCAGAGCATCCATTTGGCCAGGCAGATCAACCAATATTAGGCCTAGGCATCTGGAGAGAAGCGGAGACGGAAGCCAGATTCTGACGAGCTCGACAAGTGGCCACCGGAGTTGTCCTCGCTTTGCATTCGAAACAGAGCCCACAAAGGGCGTCACTTCTCGCAAGAACCTTTGAGGGTTATCCGCGTTGATCTTTTTCTGCTTAGCCATGTTGGGCTGAGAAAGATTGAAAAGCATGTTCGCATTCTCGCAACAGCTTGTGATTTCCTCAATTTGATCCGATAAGCCAAGCTCTTTCACCTGAGCAGGACTGAATCCTGACCATCCGCTAATCACCTTGATTTGCTCTTGGAAACGGACTTCCTCATTTCTTATTATCTCGTCTGAACCTTCCAATTCCACTCGATCGCGGAGATCTTTCAATTCTTGGAACATGGATGCCAGTTCTTGTTCAACGTCTTCCTTGCTCTTGAATGTAACTTTGGCAATGAATTTTGGCTTGCCACTCTCCGGATAGTGATTCTGGAAGCAACAGACTGCCGCGGTACAGGCGGCCTGCTGGGAACTTGGCGCGATGTCTATTGTGTCATTAATCAGGGTGTTCAGTAGCATCGTCTTCCCGAGGCCTGTGTCGCCGCCTTTGAAAAGTTAGCTTCGAGAATAATTGTCTTTCAGATAGTATAAGAATAGACTAAATGAACTTACAGATGCCGATGTAGGTAGAAAATTTCTCGTAGTCATACTCAATGCCTTCTTTATAGGTATCGTTAGCATTTACTCAGCATAGCGACTGAGGTGGGTAGTGGTCAAGTCCTTACTGTATGTGGAATTCCATGTGGACAAGTCAATATCTGAGGGCTCAGCTTTGTTCTCAGTGATCTTTTGCGAGATCGATGCCAAATTGTCTAGCAGTTGTAGCACGGCATCCTCCTTTTCTTTTATCACTTCCTCGTGGCTCATCTCTGGGTGTTCCGGATTTGGTGCCTCCGGAGAAGGCGCTTCGCCCGACATGATGAGGGATGCGAAGACCTAGAACTGGGAGATGTAGACCTCAAAGACCACTCAGTGTAATGCTGGTGGTTGGAGAATAAAATCTCCCCGGTGTTGAATTGTGAGTTGCTTCAATTAGCAAGAGTGCAACGCGCTGCGTTATGTTTTGAAAGAGTCAATGAAGTAGACTAAGCTAGGAAGAGGATGTGTATGGTGGTCGGATCAGAAGGTTGGGGTAGAAAGCTGTGGTTGTTTGGAGATGAAAGTGAGAAGCAGGAGGAAGAGAAAAGAGAGGTAGCTTTATACTGCAGCTGAGGCCAGTTCCCGCCTGAGGAATCCAACAGGCAAGAGAAGGAGCCACCGTAGGAAATTCTGAGAAGAAAGTGAAAAGGTTCTGAAGGAAGGCACGGCCTAGTGTAGAGAGAAGTGAAAGAATTGTGGCCAATCTCCGGCTTTATAGGAGACACGGCAGGCGATACGACTCAACTCGACTCGATAGCGGCCAGTCATAGGGAATGGAAATGATACCTGGGCTATCAATATCAGCTGTTGGAGAAATAGATGACATTGAGTTATAACCGTCAAGGCACCTGAGCGACCACAGCGCTTGTTGGATTCTGAGACTAATGCAGGGCTCTACAAAGGAACCTCTCGTTGTAATTATTGAACTGACACTGCGTCGTTGAAACAGGCGAATTCAAGGTGAGAATATGAGGTCACTCTCCTCCTTTGCTCTTGTAACAGACCACGGAGGTGAGGTGCATAAAATTTATGCTCAGAATTTGATTTGAACAATGAGATGACCTTTAGTACTACTCTAGCTACCTGGAAGAATCTCTTGTCTAGATTGCCTTTATTGCCTTTACCTCCAGGCGTGCCTGCTGTAGTTAGTGGATGCAATTGCCAACGCGAAACGAAGGAATTTCGATTTGACATTGGTGGTATAAGATATCAGAAAAACGGAGGTAGAAGGAGTGCCATGTGCAATTAGGTAACCGTTGTCTGGCTCGGGGCAAAAGGATGGGGAAAACACAAGACGGACCTCGTGGAACTTCAGACGACATCCCATAAGGCTTGTGAAACCGAGAAAACGTTATAAAGATCGGAGAAAGAGAACAGACGCAAGCTGAACTACTGGCTCATCCGCTGCTCACGAACGTGCCTGAGAACACGTGTGACGACCCGTGATTGGGGCCAGCTGTGTACATATCCCCTTCTGTTGCTCGCCCGCCAGTGTAAAGGTACCTCATGAGTTGTAGCCCAGAGACAATCCGTAGGTACAAAGCGCGGGCCTTGTCGTCGCTCCCGTTTAAAGCTTCTCCCAGTCGCGGGTGAAATTATCATATCTTTCTTCTCGCACCAACCAACCAACCACTCATAACATAACCACATTGAGTACAAACCCAAACCTCACCAACTCCTTCGACTTCTTCCTTTCCCCTTCAGGAAAGCTCTGTACAGACCCATGCAGCAGACAGCTAGAACCAGTCGTAACCCAGAAACCACAAGGTATGTGTGCGTAGTAGGTCTTTCGTTGGCAAAAACCAAAAACTGACGTCGACCTTCCCCCCCTCTTTTGTGACCATCACAATGCTCAATGAGCAGAACAGAGGTATCTCAAAATGTCTGACGCTGACTATGTCGTTTACGTCTGTCCCGAGGACAAACTCCCAGCCCCTCTGCCCACTTTGTCGCAGATCGACGCGGCCATTGAGGAGGAGGGTGCCGAGATCCTCTACCAAAACATTGGCTATGGCTGTACCCTGTTTCGATACAGCCCCGAGTTCCTTGTATTTTTCGGCCCATTCTTAATCCTCAGAGGATCCGCCTGGGCTACCAGCTTATCGGGGGAATTCGCCCCTCGACTCGAATCTTCGGCATGTTCCAGACCTTGCGCCTCAATTACCTCTTCAGTTATGTGATCCTCGATGACAAAATCGACGACGAATTCAGGAAGGAAACAGAGGAAGAAGGTTGTGAGGATGCCGACGGCGACGAACCTCAACCAGCACAACCTTCCACATGAGGCTGGCTCAGGTGAACCAAGGGGCAGTGGGTAGGTGATGGGGGTCGAGTGCTCCGGTCAAACATAATCCATGCGGGAACTCAAGGCAAGCGATAAAGTAATAGGGTTGGCTCTCGATTTTGCCACGGGAGATCAAACAGCCCAAGAGTCCATACACTAAAAGAACTGCATAAAAGGCCAATGAAAAAGATTTGCCACAAAAAGACCCTGCTCGAAACATTGCTTCGTGCATGATTGATTCGGCCGTCTTGCGGAGGTTAACTTGGCTCCTAGGCCTCAGAATCACTTGCGCCCTCGACCAGACGCTCGTCTGGCAGCATGATTGCTCGGTCAAGCTCATACGGTAGTCCGCGATGACGCCCTCGAATCATCATGATGCATATCACAATTTTCCCGAACGGGGTAAATTTCCCACAAAGGGATACGTTGACGTTGGGATACCCAAGGCTCAGGCCAACATTGGCGCTAGGGTTAACCGTTAGCATCCTGAAAAGAGAAAATGAACATGGGATGGATCATCGTACTATGCAGACGTGACTTCGAAAAGAATAGAAAACAAGTTGAAGGCCTGTAGGTAAGATGATCAGTCAATCTGCTTGTTGCGTAACAACCACATCTGCACGGCTGGAAGAAATGCGTACCGGATCAGCCCCATCCATGATCTTATCAGATTCTGCAATGGAGATGCAGAAAACTCCCAAAAATATGTACCACAAGTCAAAGCTGAGTTGGTTCTGCATGTGCTTCAAAAGATACGATGAGCCAGTGCCTTCAGACTCACTCACCTCAATCTCGGGAGGCTCATAGATCCCGAGCGACCGTTCCTCGTACGTATTTGACGCTCTTATGCTAATGGCCAAAGGAAATACGGATATGTACATCATGACCAGAAGACTTAGCTGAACAGCTGGATTGACATCCGAGAGGACAAACGTCGCCGTGCCGGTGTGGCGGGACGAGGCAGCCTGGAAAATCGCAGCGAGAATACGCTGGCCGATCGGGAGTACGGCAACAGCGGGATTGCTGAGATCAAGCACGATGATGAGAAGCGTGTCCACGAAATTGAGAACAAAAAGAATGCCGAACAGGACCCAGGTCTGCTTGCTGGGGAAGAGTAGAGTGTAGCATCGTCGCGGATGCTCTAGGAGGAAGTTGAGGGGTTCCTGGATGGCCGAGTTTCTTGGGAGGACCTTTGACATCGTCCATATAGACAGTCGCAAGAAGATTGGGTAGCAGGTATTTCCAGCAAATGAGAGAAAGCTCATAATGACCATTGGCCATTCTGCATCCCTGAAGCTGACCATTGAGTCCGGAGTGAGTGTGAGGCCGAGATTATTAAACATGGTTTGTGCCGAGTAAAAGGCCCTGCATAGTTTAGCTAGAGCCCTGCAATCTGGTTCTCGCTACAGAAAAGCGCAATCCTCACTCACCACCAAGTTTCAGACACCGCACACTCCTTCAAATAGTCCCTGTACTTGGCGTCGGAATACTTGATCCATGGAAGTAGACAAATAGCGCCGAAGAGATGCAGGCCAAAAAAGTAAGCTAATCTAGGTAGTCAGTGAACCAAACCTGCCAGCAATTCATGTGGCAACCTACTGATGACGATTTTCAGCAGGAGTTTCAAACTTCTATATTCGATACCCCCAAGGATTTCCCTGTCTTCCGATGTCAGGTTCACGAACAAGGAGTTCCGACCGATGGTAACTTGATTTGAAAGATATGGCAGGCTATTGAGGGCAGGTTGTTGTAAAGAGATAGAATTTCGTCGTTCTCGAAGGGGTCTTTCCCGTCCAATGACGAACATGGATGAAGCGACCGTAGCGACACGATCGACTGAGCGTGACTCGGCAAGTCTAGAGCCGTCTGTAATGCGGCGCCGTAAACCAGGTCGTAGACTCACTCCGGAGATGGCATCTGGGTCGCGCTCTAGAACAAGAGACTTGGAATTAATAAATGTAATCACTCAACTAGGGCCCGACTCCCCGTTGCAAATGGAGTAGATACTCGTTTCATACCATCATGACTTCGCGAAAGAGTGTTGTTCAGCTCAATTAAAGGATAGCCTCGGTCACGGTCACGAGGTCCTGGAATGTAAAGTGTTGCATCATTCTTAGGTCTATGGTCCGTGGAAGGATCAAAGCTGATGTGCGCACGAGGTTGGGAAGGCTTTTCGTTGTCGGTTTGATTTTCCTCGACATCCTTCTCCTGGTCTACGGCCAGAGGAAGAGTATGGGGTGGCGAGGGCTCCCGTTCGGCCACCATGTTTTCAATCACATCTTCATCTTGTGGTTTAGGCTCACTCGAAACTCTTGGCTCCGATGGTGTGGCAGAGCTGGGTGGTGTTGAATTGAGTGGCTCGCGTCCAATAATTTCGATATCTCCTGCTCTCTGACTGGAATTTGTATTTCCCCTAGCTGAAAGCAGATCAGGAGCTCTTTTTTTTAAATGCTTTCTGAACCACCAGAGGCGTACTATCACGACGACGATGTTGATGAAGCCAATGTTAGTGACAATCGGAAGAAAATAGAGGTACAGCTGTTGATAAGTTTTCAGTTCTTTCAGGTCCACACTGTTCGACGACAGCGAGTACAGGTTGTCAGAAGCTTTCGAAATAATCTTTCGCGTGGCTTGTTACGTACGTATTCAGACCGGACTCGGTGGAAGCGCTGACTCCAAAGTGGTAGGTGTCAACAGCGTTGAGGGTACCATCTGGGTAGAGGATGGGAAATGACAGCAAACCCAGAAGAATGATATATGTGTCTGTTTATATGTCAATCATCAGTTAATAGGGGCTCGATTGTTTACTTTATTATAGCTTGTCTTAATGATAGTGGACTCACAGTGTAGAGACACGAAGTTTATCGGTGGACGCCACATCCCACACAAATCTGAATCAAGAACCAGGGAACTGTGAGTTGTAAAAGTGATGGAGTCAGACGAGGCGTGAGACAAGAACGTGTACGACGCTTGGATAAGCCCGGCAAGAATCAACAAAGGTCAGCAATGAGAAAGAGTAGTGTCCTTGCCTGGGAGGCCTCTGGATCAGTCAAGGTGGTGATGTTCTTTTGAAGTAGGCCTTTGAGGATTGTGAAAATTCCGGCAATAGTTATGATCAAATGTCTCATGGGAAAAGAAAAAAAACATCTCATGATAAACCGGTTGACACCTGGGATCCGACGATGCACAGCCTCGCTATGATCAGTCACATTTCTCTACCACCCACCTGGCCTTCCAGAGAAGACAAAGACCGGCTAATCGCGCAAAATTACGACCGTCGTTGCCGGAGTGGCCCGGCCACCGGGGGTATGGAGCCAAATTTATTAGCTGGCATTCCCTTTTCCTTGAGCTGGGACGGTGCGTGATTGTGTATCCGGGATCAGCGTCGCAGCAGTTGGGTAGTAGGAGGCCTCTTGACACTGGGGCTTGGGAGAGCGCCAGCATCAACCACAACGACCACCAATTAATAAAGCTGATTGCCACATGGTATATGCATGTACAATGGCTGCTAGATAAGCTTGCAGGTTGTAGCTGCCTAGAAGCCGGGAGGAACCCGCATATTTCAAGCTTAAGTTCTTGGTTCTTGAAAATAGGTGTGGCTGTTAGCTAACAAAGTCAGTACGCAAGTGGCTGCAAGCTTTAACTGCCATAAAGAAAAGAAATAGGAAGCGGCCGTAAATGGCAATAGTCCCCATGCCAACAAATCCAGTCCCAACACTCCATCCCAGAGTTGAATAAAATGAACTCCGAAAGAGAGGGTACGGAAATGAAGTTGAGGCCTGGTTTTTTACATTGGATACTTCTATTCTCCCGAGTCAGATTTCAGAGGAAAGCGCAAGCCGAAGCCAACGGGCGTGATTAGTCCCTTCTCTTCTTCATGTCTTGGACTGAGCGGTTGACGCGCTCGATTTCCTCGTTGGCACCATCCCATTTCTTGCGCTTCCCGTCAAAGAGACGCAAGATATGTGGTGTAAAAATGCCATCCACCAGCATACTATAAAGTCGCCGGTTCTGGAACCAAAACTTCCACCCTGCCCAACCCCATCCAAGGCGCTCGTTCAGACCGGTCCCTGCCACGTCGTTGGCCCAAGTGAGCCACTCTTTTTGGTTTACCCACCCAGGATGGGCACTGCCGGTTTTGGCTATTTGGATAGTTATCTTGTGCTGTGCATCGACAGCCAAATTCATCTCTTCGGTTGAAGGCAGGGCGGAACTGCCTTTCCAGATTTGCGCAATAGACATCGTGGCTAGGTCGTACAGAGGGAATGCCCCAGTTGCAAAGGCTACACAACCGAGGAAGGCTAACGATTGCGGATGTTCCAGAGAGAAAACGTTTCTATATAAGCGGGGAAGTGGTTTGCCTCTGGATCCCATGGCTGCCTCCCATTCTGGTGATGTGTTACGGGTTGGATCGACCGCGGCGTCGAGGATCTTGAAGGTGTGTTTATATCCAGTGCACCAAATAATAGTGTCAACATCGACCTTTGTGCCATCATCCATCTCGACTTCGTTAGATCCTACCACCTGTTTGACACCGTGGCTGATTGGCTGCACCTTGCCATTTCGGAAAAGGTCAACGATGTTGTCTGAGATAACTGGCAGGGCGTTCCTGATTGACGGGGCTGGAACGATGCGCCACTCAGGGTCGAATTTGAAGGCTGAGCTCGACATTTTCCCTAAGCCCTTATCCGTCATGAACTCGAAAACCGAAGGGAAGTTGGTCTCGAGAAATCCGAGGATATTGATCTTGCGGAGGGTCATAGAATGATCGAACGGCACTCCGGCTACCTTCCTAGGCAACTGTAGATGTGTATTTGTTAGTCCTTCACCAAACAAGGTAGGGCCACTGAGATTTATGGGTGGGTAGATTGGTCAACGAACAATTACTGCTCCATGTCTATATGACAGGTAGACTTTATCAGCCTCCCCAACAAGGGTTGTTGCGGTGTCCACGCCAGTACTTCCCAATCCAACAACTAGCACCTTCTTTCCCTTGAAGTCTTCTGGCCTATCATCGAGGCGTTAGTGGACCGAGTAAGAGGATATGTCAAAAATGAGGTTTTGACAAACTTCTTGAAGGAACGCGAGTGGACGCTGTTGCCCGAAAACTTGTCGATGTTTGGGAGATCGGGAATCTGGGGCTCCTGTTGCGCGCCCGTCGCGATGACCACTTTGTCGAAGAAGAGAGGGTCAGAGCCTTCGACCAGTAACTTCCATCGATCGGCTTCCTCGTCCCGAATGACTTTTTGGATGTTGGTGCCAAGCCGTAATCTAGATGACAGCCCGAAGTGCTCAACATAACTCTCCAAATAATCCTGGACATCTCGGGCAGTACAATGACTCGGCGCATCTTGAGGGAAAGGAAAATCGGTATAACATCCTCGTTCTTTAGAAATGTTGATCACCGTAGCTAACGATGCGCATAAGCTGGGGCCCGTATGAGGGACACTGGAAACAAAGGCAAGGGTGTCTCACTTGGAAGAACCGATGTCCTATCCTCCTCTGAGAAGTGCCACAGGCCACCGACGAACGGGCTACGCTCAAAACCAACGACATTGAAACCCTCTTCGGCGAGATTTTTCACAGCCACCAAACCCAAAACCCCTTAAGGATAGGTGTTAGTAATGCTACAACGCGTTTGCATCAAATGATGCCTGGGCCAGATACTGCGCATCCTACCAAGTCCAACAACGGCAACAGACGGAGAGTCTTGTGCCATGATTTAAGAGAGAGAGGATAGAAAATCCTGGCTTGTCATAGACAAGTACAAGAGCGGATCCTTTGCTTAACCGTGATATGAAACGTGTTGCTTGCGGAGAAATTGACTCGGTGGCTGGGCACCGTTAGTGGGCGAGCTAAGCTGAGGTTTTGGTTTTGTACAAAGTGTGATGAACAAGCCAACATGTGTGGGTGCTTCATGAGACACAAGAGGGAAGGAGACTGATATAAATGGCCAAACGAAGCCACCGATCCCGAATAGAGCTCACACGACAAATACGTGGGCTGCCCAGCAAGGGAGCCTAAAGGCTGACTTCATGTACCCACCAGGCAGCCTTGATGGCCACTCTCAATGGGTGAGACCCATTGATTCATGCGGTATGACCGGCGAGACTGGCCATGCAAGCCGCGTGGTGCGGCTGAAGTTTAGCGTTTAGGTTAAATGATCCTTGTACGCTACCTCCCTGGCTGAGAATTGTCCTCATTGGCTGGCTTTCAGAAAGAAATTGCATTGGAAGTGTTGATGGCCTAAGTGTTGATGATTTTCTTGACAAAGCTGATAGACTTGAGCGGTTGGTAGATTCGCCCGGTTACTATCCCGATGAAGGAGGATTGTGAAGGTCTCAGCTGGAATAGGCCAGGGTTGGCCAAGGGGTGGTTGAAAGGAGCAAAACGGCGGTGGGGCATGATCTTATCAATCTGATCGTTACAGTCAAGGTCGCATCACTGGAAGTCTCGACATGCTTGGCCATCCCTGCTCGGACAAACAATCTGACCGGTCCTCCTTCTGTTAGCTAGTATTCTGGGGCGCCGGCTTGACGGGAGGATTGCGCCTCCGATGAGCCTACCCTTTTCTCCATCCTATACCCCCTAACATGCCATGTGTTTCTCAGAGTCAATTATAAGTGGAGCTTGTGGTTTGAGGGGTCGTGGCTTGGATATTTCCAGGGCACTAACTGTGAGTACGAGGCTCCCAAACTGGATGCCCTCGTCGGATGATCTCGCCGGGTGCTCGAGGGCCGTATGCAAGTGTCGGCATATATGAAGGAGGCCGTCAAACCGACCGAGGCGCCACATCGTATTCGCCGTTCTTATGCTCAGCCCGTGGGTCTTAATAGATTCCTAAGTCTCCACAGGGCCACTCAAGTCGGCATTCTCGTGAACATGCCCGCGAGATTCTAGGGCGGGGTGATCGTCGACGACGTAGAAAGGAAAAATTGACGGCTCAGGTTGGCAATAGGATCGTTCTGTCTAGCAACCTAACCGCATTAGCAAATCATCTGTGGACATCAAGACATGGGCTGCCACTTATCGCCAAGTTTATAGTAGCATCCTTGGGCAAAACACCATGCCCGAGGTCTTGCTCCGGGTAGACAAATACCCATTCGCCGACGAAGCTGGCGTCTTCATTGAGAGGAGCAACGAGTTGTTCGTCATCAGTGCTCAATGCGTGGATTCCAGTGGCGTAAAGAAGGCCCAAATCTCCAAGATTCTTCTTGGCAATGGAACGAAACCCGCCGTGCAGGAGGAAATCCCCTGTGACCAGATCCAAATGGGCAATGGCAGAGTGAACTACCAAGGTGGTAGCTTTTTCTGTAGCCAGGCATCTCTTAGTGAACCGAGCGGCCTGTTTAAAACGGAAGCTGATGATCATCACGTCAAGCTTGTAGTGACGAGCTAGCTCGGTCAACCTTTCAGCTCTGCGAATGATGTTGTTATTCACAACGATGGTATAATCCTATTCACTGACCCAGAATACGGTTTAGAGCAAGGATTTCGCCCCAGACCGAGTCTTCTGACCCCTCTGTATCGGTTTCACCTTGCAAAAAAGGGCATTAGATCTGTGGCGGAGAGTTTCGGACATCTGCTTCTCACCTGACGAGAAGACGGTCTATATTGCCGACATAGATTAGCTACACGACCAGTTAGTGAATTCTAGTCGGGTAGCCTCCATGTAAGAGAAAATTATACATGTACTTACGAACAAACTTTCCAAATTGGGGGGGTTTTGCAAATACACGATAAACGCTGACTTGACGCTATGCGTTCGACGTAAAATACTACCACGGGCAGCCAATTCTTACCAACCGTTGTCTATTTGCACTCGCTAACACGGGAATATCTGATAGGATCAAGTATGGCACTGATTGAAACGTGTACAGTGGATGTGGCGATAGAATCAATGTGCGGTCGGGTGGTGGTGTTTTGCTAGGCAAAGTGCTATCCCCGGAGGAGCCACCACCTTTTGCCTTGGCAGAGACGAAAAGATGTTCGCCCTGGACGAACATCGAATCTAGAAAGTCAAGTTTAATTCAAACACAAGGGGTGCTTTGCTTGGGGTTTGATCCTGTGAAGATGTCGACGAGTCAGCAGGGAAATGCGTCGACGGGAAGGAAATGCACCCTATCCAGAAAGCAGGGAAGGAAGGAGCGAAGAAAGAAGGGAAAAGACCGCCTACCAGAAATAAGTCACCCATATCTGAACCGAAATGCTCAAATTAATGGTGCAATAGCCATACTTCCCAAGAAAAAGAGAAGTGTGCTCTTGCTTTCCTGTTGTTGTATGAGCACAAAGTAGCACGACCCACCTGGAAGGCTCAGGATTGACGCTTGGGCAAATCTCTGCCTGTGCAGCCCGCCACTGTCAGGTATTCAGCACTAGAAATTCCTCTACTGCCCACTAGGATCTGACCTTTGCTTCGAGTGACACTCCTCTGCCCATTGTACCTTATCTCATTTACTCCTTTCCTCCATGGCATGCTCGCTTGGACATCACAGAGAACTCCCCGCTGACTTATGCATCATCTACCCAAGCCCTTCCTGCATCTGCTATTCACCATCATATACCCCATGCAATATTTACTCGTGGACTTCGTTCCCTTGCAGAAGTATGCGTTCTTGTTCCTACCCATCTTGCGGAAGGGATGTGGCTGCTCAACCAATAGCATCGGCATTTTATTTCTAATTGCTTAAAAAGTAGGCATTGTAATGTCTCTTCCGAGTGCCACCGAAGCTGGATACGGAAGGAAACCCGCATCAAATCCATCTCGACTAATCCTCCCCATCCAGGATTTTGGTTGCTCCTCCTCTCAAGGTGATTTTGAAAAGAACTGCAGCTAGTAGCTTCAAACTAACGCCTTTATTCTTAGACATCGGTATGAATCTACATTCACTACGTTCGAGCTTCGATCGAGACCTCAAGTCGTGATGGGGTGGTGATGCCGTCTACCAGAGACTCGAATTCGCCTCCGAAGGCACAGCAGCCATGAACTTCGAATAACATTCCAGCTCCTTTTGTCTCTTATCCACGTCGAGCAAGGTTCCTCCAGGTAGAACGAATCATCAAATTCTTCGTATCCTTCTTGCTGGGGGCCTATTCTAGGATACAACATCGAACCTGCGGAAATGTTTTCTGGTTTGCCAATCCACCAAACCGAACCTTCTCTCCTCACTCCCGACAACGAGCACTTGACAGGTATAGCTTGGATTATTTAGATCAGGCTTTGTGGCCTCTTGCAAAACGTTAACAGTTATATTTGGTGATGTCAGATCAGCTCCTTGTGTTGACAATTCCAGGACTACGATAATCATACGCCCCTCTCGCCGATGGCAGATTCTAATACATGGCCAATACTCTTGGCTCTATGTCTATTTTATTCTAGTGAGCTGATATGCTTGAATTCCCCCCCAGCGTGAAGCAGGCAGTTAACCCCTATTTCTAGGTTATTTTCGCACACCGCCCGATTCTAAATTCGAAAATGTGCCGCTACCGAACGATTGCCCATTGCTACAACTTCCGACCCATTCGATTCCCCGTTCCTTGACCGTCGACCCCGAACATGATAGGTAGATTGAATACAATTATCAAGATGGTATAAGGAATGCGTCATGAGGCATATTGCCAGTAACCTCCAAGTCCGAAGGAACCAAACCCATCACCACATATCATATTTCCCAAAGACTCCTCTCAGAGATCCTGTGAGAGAGAGTACCAGTAGTTCTCTGAATTCAGCGTACTGGCCTTTTCAGCAGCCTGTTTATGACACACAGATCCGTAGTTGGGATTCAAGTATGAAAGGTAAATTTATCAACCCCGTGCACCTCTCGGTACAGGTCAACCCCAAGAAAGAAAGTCTTCCACCCCTACGAGGTCTCCCAACAATACATCAGAATGAAGGTCCAAGAAGCTGGAGGTTGGAGATACACTCCTCTTAATATGTTCACTCCGGTCTTTTTCACCCAAAGGCAAAGCATTGTACAGTAGATTAATGGTTGGGGCTTCAAGTTTTTGTGATTTAGAAGCTAAGGTTGACTGAAGAATGATGCTTGAGAAGCATTGGCTGGCTTTCTTTTTGTGTTTGATCTCATCTCCTCCTCACCATAAAACCCTCCTTGAGTGACCAAATTTCCCTAATGCTTTTCGCCCAAAGACCCCTAGATTGCCCCGCTTCCCTCCCCCATCCTCCCATCTCCCCTCTTCCTCGCTCCATCAAAAAATTGAAAATAAAAATTGAAAAAAACAAAGGAAAAAGGGTAGAAGTAGGTAAACAATAAGAAATTTAGACAAATGCTTCATTACCTCTCTAGTTGATTTTGGCCGATTATGGTTATCTGGGAGAAAAATCAGTAAAATTGCCTAGAACAGTGAGGGTGGAGGGAATACTCACAAACTTTGATGGATGAAGGTAGCCACCACGGGACTGTGATCAATATCGATCCTTCAAAAGAAGAATGCAGTGTGCTGTGAAGGAGTTAGATGAGGTAGAGCTGAGCATGTCTGAGACTTGATCACCAACCTTGAAAAATGCTAGCAACGGCCACCATGATTTGGATCTTTGGGCTTTGGAGAGTTCGGTGTTCAAGGTTGTCTCGCGTGATGCGGAAAACTATCAGGCTGATTAGTGTGCGGTTAAGATTCTGGGAAGGAGGTTGTATTTAGCCCTGAGGTGGCCCGGCGCCAGAAGAAGGTCAGTGACCTTTTGAAGTCATCTAGTTACTTGATTAGTATGGTAAAAACAGAGGGGGTGGGAGGAATATGTTTGGCTACAGCTAGCCCGATACCAGGAGAAGATCAGCGACCTTTGGAAGTCTGAGGTCATCTAGCCACTTGATTAGTATGGTGTAAACAGAGGAGATGGAGGAACATTGATTTGTATTTAGCTGTGGTTTGTGTGGTAGAGATGTATGGTTGGTCTGGTCGTAGAAGAAGAAGTTTCATGTTTTTTATGTTGTCTAGAGAGAGACACTTGGTTAGCAAAAACCTGAACATGAAGGGATGATGTGTGTGTATGAGAAGATGATGATGGTATTTCCATTAAGGCAAGAAGATTGCTTGATGAAGGATGGATAGGTGATATAATGAACAAGAAACAAGTGCTTGGGGAGATGAGTGTGTGGAAGAAGGAGGAAAGACTTGGGCTGGGGGAGGGGGACGGAGAGGGTTTTTATATGTTTTCCATTCGGCGACAGGCAGGAAATCTGAGCTACTGGACTCAGACTAATCTCATTGTCACCTCACATTGAATAGAAAGGGAAGAGGGGGGGGCATAGATAAGTCAGACGCACAATACTCGAGGCGAGTCTGGGAGGGGGCCGTCCTGGGACCTCAGGACCCAACAATAACCCGGCTCACCTGGCCCTACGCCTTCCTGGTGACGTAAAGCTGCACGAAATACTCACCTACAATGGGAAGATAAAATTTTCATTGACCAGAATAAGTGCTCAGACCATTGAGTTGGCCAGCGACTTCTATTCAGCACTGGTGATAGTATGCTGGTCAAGGTCGCATCCTTGAACTTTGACGATAGAGGCCTTGAACTGGGCATTTCATCTATGCCTAAATAGTACGCTCGTTGTGCGAATTCAGCATCTTACGCATGCCTTTCAGAGTTTGTCTGCCTAGGTAAATTTAGGTGACGTTGACGTTGAGCAGTTGAGGGCTGCCGGCTGCTTTCTCGGCAGGCCCAGCCACCCCTCCCACCCTGCAGCCCTTTTGTTCAATACCTACCTCAGCCTTTGTGAGCCGAGCAGTCCTGTGGCAAGCCTGGAGCTGCTGGCTCAGAGGGCAATGTCTTCTAGTAGTGAAGCGGGTGGGCAAACTGGAACTGAGTGGGCTGTATGCCGAGACCGCCAGCTGTGGCCAGCCACCCCCAACGGCTTCTTGCTACATAGAAGTGTGAGCCATGTAAAATTTCTTACTGAATTACCAGAACAGCATGCTACATGTGCCATAAACAGTTTTATCAATCTCTTGTTCGAAAAATTCCATGTTATTTGTAGGCTGAAGCAGATCAATACTAGCCAAGTCACCACGCCCGCCCCTAGATCTGGATTTGTGAAGTGGCAAAACAGAGAGATCTAAATATGTTTTCCATCGCCCTGAGTTAATCTAGGTACATAGGTCGTCAAATGCAACGAAAACAGACATAGCCCTATTTGCTCCTCGAATCTAATCCTCGAATGGATCAACCCACGAGTCCCTCTCCTCGGAGATTTCAGCTACTGCGCGCTCGGAGGCACTGGAGATCAGCTTGTCGCATTTATCGCGAACCAATCCCAAGCATTTGTAGAGCGCACACCTCTTCCCTCGTCCCTCGCACCGGGCCTCAGCGTCAACCAGGCGCCGCGTTGACCTGTAGCTTCTGAACAAGGAAAGACTCTTGCCACTGGACGATAAAATGGACATTTCCGGACATCCATTTTCGTATGCTTGGAGAGCTCTGAGAAAAGACGCCGCGCAGGCTGTGTTACAGAAAGGGTTAATGGGGTCACGGTGAGCCCGATCTCGCAGATACCTCAAGGTCTTGAGTAGCACAGAAAAAAGCCTGTGCCGAGTATGCTCGACGACATCTTCACCGAATTGTCTTGTCAGCACATCTGAGGGAAACAAGAAGGCTCATGGAAGAGAGAAGAGAAGAAGACTTACCCAAAAACATGGTGCTGACCGGCAGGTTGTACGGATCGAAAGGGGAATTGCTATCGTGGACGAGTGTGTAAAACACCTTCTCGACTAGATCCTCATCCTTGAAAACACAAGCAATTGTCGCATATTTCCTGAGGGAATGGGACATTTCCACTTCGCGGGGGCGTTCTTCCCCCAAGGTCAAGGTAAGAGGGGCTATCCTTTTCCTCAGCTCGTGATGGCATCCATAATAGTCTAGCATCAGAGCTAATTCGAAATCCGTATGAAGGTCATTTTGGGATGGGGGTAACCTGTTCGAAATCTCAGGAAAGCTGACATCTTCTGTGTGTATCGCCTCCATGAGAAGCTTCATCGCTCTCTCATCCCATCCACAGGCCGGGACGGCGTTCAATATCTTTCTCGTATCTCCCAAGCCGCTTTCACATTGGTTGCTAACGTCCAGAGTTTGTAGGCAACGAGAGAATTGACGTTCAAAATGCTTCGACACCGATTGAAGCCTGTTCGATGAAACCAGCATATAGGCTTCCCTCTTGAGACTCGCCGGATATGAATCCAAGAGAGCAACTTCTTGCCACCCAGCACACTCTCGCCTTATAGCATCCTCGGAACTTTGGTTACGTTCGTGTCTGAGATCGTCGAAAACATAGTATGCATACTCATTTTCATCAGGTGTGATGCAGAGGGGGGAATCTGGGTAGTGCAGGACCAGGACCGTATCCCTATCGTTTTCTTGTGTTTGTACAATCGGTGGAGTTGCGGGTAATATAAACTGAGACGGCTGAGCTCTCGGCGGCAGGTTCCGCCTTTGTACCATTTGACCATACATCTTCGAACGATGTTGAGGGGGCTTGATGCTATGATAGGTAATCAGAATGTGAAATGGTGAGCTTCTAGACGAAATCGTGTCTAATGACTACTCCAAAGATTCAGAAAGTTATACAACGAAGGGTTCTAAAAGGGCTGGCCCAGGGGGGTTTAAGTATTCATGGGCTGGGAGATATGCCTGTTACTGTTCATCGCTCAGGCCTTGCTGTACGACGTGATTAATGCCGAGCAACATGAAGGAAAGGTTAAGCAGATAAATAAATACCTTCTCTAAACATCACCGTTGCTAAATAACCCCATCACATACGGTATTCTCGATCACTTAGAGCTATATCCCTGCCCCTAGAAGAGAAAGGATGACCATGGTCCTCGAACCAGTCGAAATACCAACATAGTTGGCAAATAATACAAAGAAATGGCGTCTCACAGTTGGCTTCGTCCGCGTCTACGTACTCACATCACAAAATGGCTTAATATCGACTTCGTGGGACTTGCGGGTAGCTGCTGTAATGGCTTGCTTGCATAAATTCATGCCCACGTTTATCTATTGAGTTCTATATTGCTGTATCGTCACTTTCAATAGGGGAGGAGATGGAAGCCTAAAGAACAAGGTAGGACGACAGCTTATTCTCCAGGTTGGCTGCAGCTAATCTAGGTACCTATCCATGGTGTCCACATGCCAACCAGTTGCTCATACCCGATGCTTTCTGAGAACTCGAGGGCCCAAAGGTTAATCAAACAAAGAAAGATTAGCATACCCTGTATTGAAGCTGGGATAGGAGGATGTGTCGTTGGTCATGAGCTTAGAGAGACGTATAGGCGGCCAAATAGGCCAGATTAGAAGGAGGCAGACTCTACTGACTACTGAAAAGCCTAGTACCAGTATCCAAATCACCAATGCGGCCCATCACACTTTTCTAGCTCTAGAAGCGTCCTTCTCCATTCAAATTTCGGGCTGAGTCGTTCCCATGCAGGTGAATATGCAAGCACCCGCCATCTGAAGCAAGCCACCTCCTCCACCTCATTTCTGAAAAACCGGTTTTGACGTCTCAGTATCACATTTCTAGTCCGGAAAATGCGGTATGATTATGTATCTATCCGGCTGCCAAGATGAGGGGAAGGGTACTCGTCCTGGGGTGTCTTTTTTGTTTTGGTTGGACAGAGAGGAGCTCGATTGCCCATTCAGCATTCCAACATCTAGCAATCACCATGAGCTATCACTACGCGAATACTGAACATTTCATAGATCAGGGGCCACATAAATCAACTGTCGTTGGTGAAATGTCACCGATAGAGCATCCTACGTCGAACGAGTAAAGACAGAAAAGCAACACTTGAACCACGCCGACAACGCCAAACCAAACCAAATCCGACCAGAACTAGCTCTCTCTGATGCTTTCCACAGGTAAAAAGCAACCCAGACACCGAACCGAATCACAACACAAACGAGAACTAAAACTGAAAAAATCAGGCAGCCAAGTTGGACGACGATAGCCACAAGTACCACAAACTCTCTGGCATCTCTCGGAAAATCCGGTCCAAGAGCAGTCCTAACAACGAAGAAGGTATGGTTAGAATAATCTCCAGGAAAAAAAGAAAACTAACAACACTTACGGTAGTGAACGGCGCTGTTGAGCCACCGAAGGACGCCGGGGGGGATAGGAATAGGCGGCAAGACGACCAGGCCGAGAGCAGGCCACACGGGAAGGAGATCATGACCAATGGTCATTTCGTCAGTACGGATGCCTTGAAGCCAGGCCTCGAATAGCCTCGCACTTCCTCGGCGGGCGATAACGTCGAAGCTCACATTCTCCGTCTCGCCTCCCTCCTCGCCGACGCGGACCAGGACCAGCCTGACTATCAGGCTGGCCTGGTTTTGGACGGCGTTTCCCCGATAGCCCTTCCAACTTAACAGGCCATCGTCGTCTATGAACATGTCTTCGATGGGCACAGACTGCCCGACGGCTCTTGAGAGCCTCTGCAAGGATCTCGCTCGGACAACGGGAAGCCAGCAGGAAGGCACTACCGGCTCGAGGTAAGAAATTACGTTGTCACCCATCGTTGCTTTCGTGACTGTTCTGGCTTGTATTAGCGAAACTAAAAACCTAGTCTGCGAGTAGAACTTGGATGACGACTGACGGGATGGGAGGTGACGACGAGGAAGGACGAAGCAACGACCGGTGAAACAAGGAGACGGCGGGGAAAAAAGTCGAGGCTTGGGGAGGTAAAGGGGGAGCCCTGAACTTACGCGAGGAATATGAAAAAAAAACCCTAGTGTCAAAGGTAGTAGGATCTTGGCTGGTATGGAGAAAGAAATCCAGAAACGATTGTGTGATGATGACTGGAAATGTTGGGAAGGCCAGACTCAGATCCGAAGTTGCTTTTATCAAGCAGAGAAAGCACCTAACATAGCAGGGTCGAGTGTCTTCCTGGAGCGTGACGCAAGGAGCTGGGGAAAAGTGACTGACACGGCCGTCAGGGCCAGCCTCCTTCGACGAACACTGCTGTGCAGCTGCCAACAAACCCCACTCGTTTCTTCCAAAACCCCTTCCATAGCAGAGAGTGATCAACTATTGGGCGAGGGAGCGTCTTGGAACATCATGAAATTAATTATAATGTTCGATAACAAGGCCAAATATAACACCACTCTTACTATTGTTCCAGCTTTCAGAAGGCAAGTTCACTCATCAGTATATTGCGTGCTAACGGGCCAGATTCACCTGAAAACGTGTAGTTACTCACACATACTCATATCTACCCAAATTCAATACTAACAAAGCCATTCTATGCCGCTTGTGCAGTTTTGTCCTCGTCCCCCTTGATCTCATTCTTCAACACAATCGCCCTCGAGCTATTTTTCAAGTGGCTGTCGATGCTCACTGTACAGAACGCACAGAAAGTGGCCAAACCTCCGAACCCGATAGCAACCAGATACACGAGTCTAAATGCTTCTACGTTTGCCAGCTTTGTATGATACAGAGCTAGCTCAACAAGTCGAGGTGTGGCTCCTTCGATCGCCGAGAAGGCTGCTCTGGTGTTGGTTGCTGCAGCTGTGACCAGCCCCTTGAGGAGAGAACTCGAGAACGACGCATCTGAATCTTCGATAGCCGCGGTCATCTGGCCAGGTAGGGCCTCGCTGAGTTTGGTTGATAGAATGGCCGAGTAGATGGCTGTAGCGACGGCACCACCGAGCAGTCGAAATGTTCCCGCGAGGCCGACTGCAATACCACTATACCCATTCGTTAGTATTTTGTGTTCACTATCCTTGATACATCTTGCGAGTTACTTGAAGCTAATCTTACATGTCTGATTGATCCTCTAGACCGAGTGACAGCATCGCAAAGGATACCAGCTGAGGAGCCGTGACCATGGCAGAGCCGATAATGAGCGTCACAATGGCCTGAACTCGATCGTCTATCCCGACCGAAGAAAGAGAACCGATGAGAGCTGTCTGAACAACCATGAAGAATACGAGTTGCCACTTCTCATGACCCAGCCATGAGCAGACGAAGACGGTTGTGACACCTCCCACTTTGCACAAGTCAGTAATCCGAACCGTCGACGAAGATCCTACTGGACGAATACTTACACCAACTTCCGATCGAGAAGAAGGTTGCATAGCCGCCTCGGAGGATCGGCTGGTCCGCACCCACGAATAACGTCTGAGATTGTCTCGGCCAGAGAACGTTCATGCTGTAGTAGAGCATTCCTCCTACGAAGCAGACCACTATAACCATCACAAACTCTCGAACTTTCATAAACAGCTTCGGTGGGAGGAGGGGATACTTTTGGTTCGAGTAAACCTCCCAGAACCCAAGAGCGACGTAGCTGCTGAGACCAAGGATGATCGGTGTGATAGTAGCTGGGCTCTTCCAAGAATATTGTCTCCCTCCGAAATTAATGCCTAGGAGGAAGAGCACTCCTCCAGTTATGAAGAGGAAGATGCCTACATAGTCAAGCTCGGCAAGCAGCTGCATCTTCGTCTTCCCATCGTGGCGGTGCTTCATCTTGAAGTCGGGGGGGCGGTAGAAGATCCAGAGGAAGATAAAGGCGACGACATGCCATGTGAACATATACCAGTAAGCACCTCTCCAACCGATGTCGTGGAAGGCGATGAAGCAATATGCGATGGCCGGGCTGCTAAACGCTATAGCAAGAGAGATGTCGAGGAGACCTGATATCACGTGTAAGTCTCTCTACCCTAAAACAAACCATGACACAGCGAGTTGCACTTACCAACTCCGACCATTCGGTGCTTGTTAGGTAGCATTTCCTGAATGCAAGCATAGGCCATTTCTTGGAACCCGGAGCCTATTCCAAAAAGAGTTCCACTCGCGATCATCATATCGATACTCTTGCCGTTCGCACCAACGAGGCACCCTACTATCGATATCGAAGCACCCGTGATCATGAAATACCGACGACCGAAGATATCAGACAAACGACCGCTGATGGAAACAATGATGGAGCCACCCAGTTGCCAAACGATGGTAATCCAAGAGTAGTAAGGGCTCGGCCCAAGCTCCTGATTGATATACGACAACGTCGTCGATGGAATCAACAGGCTCATAACATACGCATTGATTTGACCGGCAATAGCCTAGAACGTTGCAGATCAGCATTCTGTTGCCTAAGTAACGTCTTTGGAGGTCTGGATAGGCATACAATACAAGCAAGAATCGTCTCCTTGGTGAGTTTATTATGGACATCATTGAGCTCTTCGGGGTCATGTTCCAATGCGGTGTGCTCAAGATGGGAATGGCTTCCTTGCGGTGCCTTTTCTCCGTTAGACTCGGAACGAATATCCTGAGCTGGGGTAGAACCACCGGAACTGTGATCACCAGTCACCCTCATGGTGTTGTACTTGGCTGTGGCCTTCACGAATTCTTGGTTAGCTGGGGAGATGAGCCACGCAGGAGAATCCCACACAGCAGCCCGCTCGACTATTATACTCCTAGAGAGCTGCGGGGTGCAAGGTGGAGGGCACCATCAACGTATGGGGCCTGGTTTGAGGTGCATTCTGGGGTAAGATCCATCTTGCACAAATGAATATCTCCGGATAGGACGCTTCCCAGATCTTCTCCATATCTCCACACTATCATGAATCGCGGGTGCCATCATTGGGTCTAAGGAGATATCGGCCGTAAAAGCTTCTCCATTAGGCCTTACCATCCAGGGGTCTCAATATCTCCGCTATGAAAACCCTCGGGAAATTCGGATAGATTATGGGGTTCTCTAGGTTTTAATCGAAGACGGGAGTAGAAAGCGTGAGCAAGGCCGAAAAGCAAGGGTGTTATCTGGTCTTCAATGTTGAAACTGGCTTCTCGTTTCGGACAACGTTTTCCTAGATCCCCGCTGCTGGCATCATGGTTATAACTTGGGCTAGTTCGAAATCCGGATAAGAGGGGTCCTAAGACCCTGAACGTTCTGCCCGTATACCGGTCAAGGCCAGAATTACCAAGCTCATGCGAGCCAACAATGGTCACGTTACTGTCAATCCAGGAAAACTGGAAAATCGATTTCCGGAACACTTATTTCGTCACAAGCCACTGCCAGTCGATAAAGCAACACAGGTGTTAGTCTAACTAATTCTGATTAACTAAGAGGGGAGACTTAATGATTTATATTTCGTCATTATGCCAAAAAAAAAAATCGACATGTAGTGTGAAGCGTCTTCCAGTGTCCGGAGATATATCTCCTCAGAGAGCAGCTCTCGGTGATACCAGAGCAACCCCTTTTGTAGGAGAACTTGGCGTAGGATGATTACAATCCACCGAGGATATCTATAATCATATCTCGTCTCAAGATAACTAAACATCTCTCTATCGATATTGGAAATCTATCAACCTTGTTGGTGGTTGCCGGATGTAGAGCTCATGCAGGGAGCTGCTATTTCAGTTTTGGTATTAAATCAGCAGTATCACAGGTGCTAGCCAGTTAAGGATTCATTGCCTAGTAACATTGTGACTTCTATGGTTCTTCGGTTAGACTAAAGGGATCGGTTAGACGGAGAAGCAGTGCAATAAATAGCACGGAGACCTCCACGAAGTAGAACCCGTGACAATGTTGGTGGTCGTGTGAATTGTATTAGGTTCAAATCAGCATTAGAAAGAGACTCGATGAATACGTCAGTTGGATTTTAGGTAAAACAAATGCATTTCGACTGGCTGGTGAATAATAGACTTGTTTTGTAGTCTGGCAAACCGCCTGCCTCTATATCCCGAACGCCCTCTCATTCGTATCATCGTTTCGAACCGGCCTCTCTTTCTTTGCTTTTATGTGTCCCATAACGCCTCGAACTCCGATAATGATTCAGATCGACCCCGACAAGGCAAGTGAGAGTATCAGTCGTGGTTGGTTGTCCAGCCGTCCGAGCCAACATCCCACACCTCTCCCCCCTACTAGGTCTGGACCAGCAGCACATATAACTTATTGGATGTCCATATCTTCGCCCGCAGCACTCTCGCCCGCATCGGCTTTAGCATCGGTCTCGACAACATCTAAATCAACCCATTAGCCGTTGAGCTCGAACCAAACCCGTCCCCTAGCACCAGGGTACTCAACCAAGTTGAGATAGAGCCAACTTACCAGTCATCTCAACAATACCCTCGGCGTCCATCTTCCTCTTAAGCGCATATCCCATCTTCTTCTCGAGCTTCCTCGCCTTCTTGCCGCTCACTTTGGCCCGGGGCCCGCTGTTGGGGAGGAGACCAGGTCGCGCGCCTCGTGCGACGTCCTTCCTCGAGATCTTGTTCTTGTTCTGCTCGGAAATTTGCCTTTGCGCCTTCTTGGCCTTCAACGACCGTGCGGAGACACGGAGCTTGGACATGCCGTTGGGGTTCTTGACGGACGGCATCGTGGCAGATTTGAGCCTTGCTCTTCGTCTGTATTATATCGCGCGGTGGGTATAGTTATCGAGATAGGGGTCGTCTTCGATGCTCGTTCTCGGTGGGAGGTTTGGAGGCCCTTTCACTCGTTCAAGGTGGACTGGTTATTCAACACCGTTCTTATCAAGACGTGCTTGCAGAAAAAAAATATTTGGCCCCGCTGGTGCGGGAG